ACAATTTTTCAGGGTACAGAATTATAGGTTGGTGGAATTTTTTTTTTTTGTCTTAACATAAATTTTGTTTTAAGCAACATAAATTTATTTCTCACAGTTCTGAAGTCTGGAGGTCAGAGATTATGGTGCCCCAATTGGTCAGATGCTGGTATGGGCTCTCTTCCTGGTTTGCAAAAGGTCACATGCTCTGTGTCTTTACACAGCAGTGACAGAATGAGCTCTGGTGTCTCTTTCTCATCTTACAAGGGCACTAATCCCATCATGAGGGCCCCACCCTCATGACCTCATCTAAACAAAATTATCTCCCAAAGGCCCATCTCTAAATACCATCCCATTGGGGATTAGGGTTTCAACATATGAAATTGGGGAAACAATTCAGTCCATTGCAGTTCCCAAGGAGAAGTCAGACACAATTTTTATCTTTGCTTCTCTAAGTTAAGGTAGGGATATTTATTTCCTCTGTTTTCTTTCAAGATGTTCTCTTTACCTTTGATTTTTAGTATTTTGAATGATATGCACTGGTTTAGTTTTTGTTTTTGTTGTTATTGTTGTTTTTTAATTCATCCTGGTTGGGGTTTTTTGAGCTTCCTGAATCTGTGGTTTGGTGTCTGATATTAATTTGGGGAAAATCTTAGTCATTAGTACTTCAAGTATTTTTTCTGCTCCTTTTTCTCTTCTCCTTCTGGTATTTTCATTACACATATGTCACACCTTTTGTAGTTGTCCCACGGTCCTTGGATATTTTGTTTCTTCAGTCTTTTTCGCTTGGCTTTTTCATTTGGGAAGTTTCTACTGACACCACCTTAAGCTCAGAGATTCTTTCTCCGGCTGTGTCCATCAAAGGCCTTCTTCATTTCTGTTACAGTGTTTTGTTTTTGTTTTTTAATTGCTAGTATTTCCTTTTGGCTCTTCCTTAAAATTTCCATCTTTCTGCTTACATTGCCCATCTGTTCTTACAGGCTATCTACTTCATTCATTAGAATCATATTATTAGTTATTATCAATTTTCAATTGTCAATTATCAATTGTCAATATTATCAATTATTAATTATAATTGTTTTAAATTTCCAAACTGATAATTCCAACATCCCTGCCATATCTAAATCTGATTCTGATGCTTGTTCTATCCCTTCAAACTGTGTTTTATGCCTTTAGTATGCTTTGCAATTTTTTACTACTGGGTAAAAGGAACTGTGGTAAACCAGCCTTTACTGATGTGGTGTTAAGGTGTATGGGGAGAAGTATTCTATAGTCCTATGATCACTTCTTAGTCTTTTAGTGACCCTGTGCCTCTGGACCATGAACTTCATGCTTCTGAATCCCGTCCCCATCTTAGATGGGACAGAATGGCCAGAATGGGTTGGATTGGAGTTGGTATTTCCTTTTGCCTACATGGAAGGCTAGAGCCAAATGGAGTTTGGCATTTCCCTTCCTCCAAGTCAGTTAGGCTCTGAAAAAATCCGAGTAGTTCAGGCTGTGGTGAAATCTTGAGGTCAGGCCTTGTTAAGAAGAAGAGACTAATGCTCTGATATATTTCAAAACGTTTCCTCTTACCCTCCACCTGCTGAAAGCAAGAGGGGATTTTTCTCTGATATTCACTGGGAGAACCTGTTCAAGCTCCTGGAGGTAAAACCCACAGAAAGTGTGGGCTCTCTCTGATGACTGGGTCCCCCCTGGAGATATTAACCCACAGACTTGCCCACACTGAGCCTTCAACAATTCCTCGATGACAGTTCAGGTTTTCCTGCCCTGGGACTCATTCCCACAGAGGTTTCCGCTCCTGGGTTCCGGTTTCAGTGGGATGTGATTCCCTGCATCTACCTGTCCGTCTTTCCAATTTTGGAAGCAGCAACTTGCTTGCTTCTTGCCTTCTCTGATGGATTTAAAAAGAGTTGTTGGTTCTTTAGTTTGTTCAGTTATTTACTTATTGTTAGGATGGAGTTACAACTTCTAAACTCCTTACATACTGGACCAGAAACTAGAAGCCGGTAATTGTTTTTTCACGAAGATTCCAAGGTAATTCAATGGGGAAAGGTTATTCTTTTCAACAGTTGTGCTAGTGAATCTCAATCTTTACCTCTTGTCATACATAAAAATCAACTCAAACTGGATCACAGATCTAAACGTAAGAGCTACAACTATCAAACTTCTAGGAAAAAATATTTGTGACCTCGTGTTAGGTAAATATTTTTTAGATAGGACATAAAAAGTACAAACCATAAAATAAATAATTGACAAATTGGATTTCCTTATAATTAAACACTTGTGCTCTTTGAAAAATGCTGTTAATGAAATGGATAGACGAGCCACAAACTAGAGAAAAATATATGTGCATATATATTTGATAAAAGACTTGCATTCAGAACATGTAAAAAATTCTTATATCTCAATAAGAACATGTAATGCAATTTTTTAATGAGCAAAAGACTTTAACATATTTTTCACCAATGAAGATAACATAAGCAGCAAGCGAGCATATGAAGCCTACTTGACAGCATTCATTATTAGAGAAATGCAAATTATAACTACAATTAGACACTAGTTCATACTAGAAGGAGTACTATTTTTAAGAACTATTAAAATATTAAGTGCTAGAAAGAATCTGGAACACTTGGAAATCTCAAAGATTATGAGGGGATCAAAAATGGCACACTTTGAAGAACAGTTTGGCAGTTTCTTAAAAAGTTAAATATTAACTAACCATTTGACCCATCAATACCACTCCTAGGTATTTACTATGTATAAATAAAAACACATATCCACACTAATACCTATAAGCAAATGTTTATAGAAAATGTGGTATTTACACGTGATGGAATATTATTTAGCCATAGAAAGAATGAAATCTTGCCATTTGCAATGACATGGATGGAGCTAGGAGTATAATGCTAAGGGAAATAAGCCACTCTTATATAGAATTTAAGAAACAAAACAAACAGGGAAAAAGAGAAAGAAACAAAACAAAAAGGGAAAAAGAAAGAGAGAGAGATAAGCCAGAAACAGACTCCTAACTATAGAGAACACACTGATGGTTACTAGAGAGCAGGTGGGTGGGGGGATGGGTGAAACAGGTGCTGGGGATTGAGGAGTGCACCCGTTGTGATGAGCACCAGGCGTTGTACGGAAGTGTTGAATCACTGTCTTGTACACCTGAAACTAATATAATAGTGTATGTTAACTAACTGGAATTAAACCAAAACAAAACAAAACAAAAACCTTCAAAAATACTTCTATCTTTAAAAAATTTTAAAGTAAAAAATGAAAAGGGGATGAAATATAAATATGTAAACAAACACTGAAACACAACAGAGTAAGTACTATACAAGGGGCCCTGCAAGTAAGAGCCTGTGACCCCAAAATTGTATACGCAGCTGTTTTACCAAAAGGCAGTAGAAAGAGGTCCTCAGAAGTGCAAGGACTCAAAAAAGAACTACCCAAGTACTTTTCCTGAATAAAATACCTGGGGTCCTGTGACAGAATAAAGAAATGCATGCAAAAAAAAGAACATCGATTCATTATGTAGCTGTTGTTCTGCACGATAGGATAAATGTGGTGACAGGGTCACCAACAGCACCTAAATTACCTTTGTGTATTAGAAGAGGGAATCTTCATCTTCCTCCCCCTTTCTTTCTCCAAAGGAAAACATCTATGCAAAGGATGGGAGGAGTGAAGGAGGAAACCACGCTGTGGATGATCACAGAGAGCTTCCGTGGGAATGCCCTGGGAGACAATCATATTGCATGCCTTCCTTTGCACAATGGGAAACAATTATCTTCCTGCCACCCACAACCATGCGTTTAATAGGATTTTAAGGAACTCTTCTTAAGAAGTTAGCTAAGAAGTGTCATTGGATAGATATTAAAAACCCTTTGGAACGTGCCTTATTTTTATTTGCTTTTTTTATGTTTGATTTTTATTTTATCTAAGAGGTATCTGTTGTTTAAAACAGTAAATGTAGGATGTTCATCAACTCAAGACATATGTGTAATATTAACTAATGTTTTTCCCGAATGGAGATGCCCCTGACAACATTATGGGTGTTACTGCCTTCAGATGTTACGGAAACTCTACAGTTCTATGACACTGAAAATGAGCAGGAGTGTCCCCTGCCTACAGCACCTCATGGCCCAAATGCCTGCTTCCTGAAGGCAATGCCTTCCAGCTATTTCTTCTGCCCCTATGACCCTCCCTATTTCCAAGTAACGTGCTTGTTTTGTTATTTCTTGACTTTTTCCAATTTTAGATATTATTTGCCGACTTTCCAGGACAGAAGACAAGATTAAGATGGTCCCAACGCTCACACTCATACACACTCACACACACACACACACACACACACTCCCCTGTTCTTCCATTATAGATGTAAGCGTTATTCAGAGCACCATAAATGCAAACTGTTATTCACAGCTGAGCCACACGTGCACAATCGTTACCTTTCTTTTCGGACACAACTTTTGTGTTTTCCCAAAGTTAAACTCTAAAGTTTACTTTAGAGTTTACTTTAACGCTCATCTTGTTTTTTCATCCTCTCGGGCCTCCGCTGCTGCCAGCCTAAGCTTCAACTTTCTCCATCTGGACAAATTGACGGGCCATCTGTTTTCTAGATTTTAAAATTTTGTTGCTATCATATCCTCTCCTGTCCTCTGTCCACAAAGCTTCAGGCAATTTTATCTCTTTCCCATCTTTTGAGCGACATTCCAGAAAGCAGAGAAGGTAAACACACAGGTCCTGTTGACCATCGTGCTCAGCAGAGGCCCCTGCAGGGTCAGTAATGATGCCGAGAGACACGTGTGGAGGGGGGGGTCAGTGCTCCCTGGCAAATCAGATAGCGTAAGGGGTCTTCCAATACCACCGAGGCGCCACCCGCCAGGCCCTGCTCTTCCTGATGCGCTCAGATCCCACTTCTTTTGTAATTAGAGGAAAATATCTGTTCACTTAAACCACCAGTCGATTTAATGGCTGCAAGGAGAAGGGAGAAGGCCCTCGGGCCTCACACCTACCTTCACGGCGCTGAAGCAGAATGCGTGGAGCAGGCCAGTGGCCACGGCACTCCGGGCCACGCTGTAAATAGCCGATGTCATCCCACAAACAGCTGCAACACAAACACCAACAGTCTCACAATCAATACATGGAAGAAAGTGCAAAGACAAGGTTGTAGCTTTCAAGTGCAAAATGCCTGCCAAAGGGGCAAAGAATACCTCTATAGGATCAGTCAAAAGCACCAGATGACTTAATACAAAAAAAAAAGAGAGAGAGAGACTGACCATTTACTAAAACTTCTGGAGGAAAGCACTGAAAAGGAATTTTTGGCAACATTCTTAGAAGACTGTGTGAACATGTCCAGCGTGGAGATATGGAGACCTCCTTACTGTCAATTGAGAGTTGCTGGCCGAAATAAACATCACAGATGAAGGTTTCTGCAGAAGAAAGGGGAGCTAGACAGAGAGAGAGCGATCTAACAAACAAGCAGTGCTTGGTGTGTGTGTGTGTGTGTGTGTGTGTGTGTGTGTGTGTGTGTGTGTG